GGCAGGTACTTAAATCAGTATTTAATCAATGAAGACTAGTTTGTCTCTGTACAGTACACTCTCATTAAAGAAAATATTTAATTAAGACAATATCAAATTCCACAATATGTTTTCATTAGTGTATAATCGGCAGAATATAGGAATCTTTATGTTTTTGTCACCTTAGTTTCTTCTACACACTTTACAGCCCATTCTCATTCCCTGGTCGTCAAACAAACTTTGTTGCAATCTGCACCTTTACTGCTAGATAGAAGCCAACACACTGGTCCTTTAAAATATATTAAGGCTTAAAGTTATGCATAATTAATGGCTTGGATGCTTTTAATCTATAGAAGAAGGGCGCTTATTTGCTATCTATTCATTGTTTTAATGATGGGCCATAACAAGCAGTCTTGCTTTAGTAGGCTAAGTAGACAAAGTAGGATAATTGCATATTAGACATAAAGCACAATGTCATACATCTTACAATGACATGTTGTCCATCTGTCTGTAAGGAAGTGATACAGGACATTTTGCAAAAGAGAGTGTAAATGGTGTAAATTAAGGCCAGGTTTGGGAAAATATTATGGAATTATTCAAGTTTATTTATTAATTATTTTTATTTATTTTCCAACTTTATTTTATGTATTGTATTCTTGTCCCTTTTTATTAATTACCACATAAGGGGTGAGTTATATACATTTTAATAACAAAAACTATTTAAAGGGGTGTTTTTCTTTTTCTAGTGATAGTGATTCTTGATCTAGTAATAGTTTCTTTTCTTCTACCAGGTGACCAGACTTATCTGCAGTTTTGCCTGCAGTGACTAGCACTTCATTATGAAATGTAGCAAAACCCACAATGCTCACCAATAACCACAGTCTCACCATGCTAACAGCCAGCATCTTTCTATTCTCATTCTTGTAATAAACAGAAATAAATAAAAACACAGTCTGAGGCACTGAAGAATGATTTTCAAAAATCCTGACAATAAAGCTAGAAATACTGTGTCAGCTCCTTCCATTGCTGAGTCCGTTAAAGCCATTTACCCTCTGGCCTCTCTCTGCAGGCAAAAGCAATAAATCTGTAAATTGTTGAATATTATAATAATAATAATAATAATAATAATAATAATAATAATAATAATGCAAAAAACACAATAAAAAAGGAGATTGTCAGGAGCTGCTAAAATGACAGATTAAATGTTAATAGGGACTCAATAATCTGCTGTTGCAGAGACATTGAACTGTGTGTGTTTATTTCTCCTGACGTGCACTGGCAGTTCGTCTCTGGGTGCTGCACAGTGGCTGCCCACTGCTTCTAAAGCCTAGTTAAATAGTAAATGGACTGGACTTCTCTAGCACCTTTCTAGTCTTCTGGCAACACAAAGTACTGTTACACTACATGTTATATTAACCCAGTCACACACATTCATACAACGTCATGCCCCCACCCCTTTTAGATGGAAACAGTCCCTTGAAGTTGGCTGGCATTTAATGCAAGTTTGCCAATTTATTGGCATACAATAAGAATACTGCATTGCTTTATAGGAGCCTAAACCCTATGGCCAGTTAGGCAAACAATGTGGTTGCTATGTCACTTGTGATCAACGATCTGTGTCGTTATATAAAAAATAATAATAAAGAAATAGGGTTTGATGAGTGTCCTTTCAGTCTGCCTCCTTCAAAGTGGAATAATCTAAGATACACAACTACCTAACTGAATCTCTTTACTGACATCTTTCACTTTTCCTCACTAAGAACAAATTTTTCTGTTTTGGTCGTCTGTCCAATATGACGTTACTGTAAACTAATACAACTGTGTGACTATTACCAGACCTACCTATATACCAGACGAGAGAAGTAGAAAACAGGTCAGTTTTAGCTCCACTTCCTACATTACTTTAGTAAAGTGGTAGGTGTTTACGAGGATCATTGTTCAAAGGTAGGTCAGCTTAATTTATGTCAAATAGTAAGGTTAAAATATCCTCTGCTCCCAGCGTTTTTTGTACTTTTGAGTGGACAGACAACTCATCATTAGCTTACCAAGTGTTTACCACAGATATACACATATTGACTGCCAGGTCCCACAGTTTAATATTTATCTTCCCTGCAGATGGCCTGAAGCCACAGATCTCTTTAACTGTCCTTTGTGCTTTTGGGAAAGTAAAGAGAACTGGATACTGGGTTTCTTTTATTGTTTGATGAGTAAAATGTGAAGCTTTAGGAATGGGCGGGCGTGGTTGTTCTTAAGACAAGAAAGTGACATAGGCCTGTTCTCATCAATCGGGAACAATGTGGGGTTCAGTATCTTGCTCAAGGACACTTCAACATGCAGCGGGAGGAGCCATGTTTCTACCTCCTGAGCCACAGCCAATTAAAGGCACAGAAGAAAAAACAAATCTCTACGGGGATCAATAAAGGCTAATATTGTTTTTTAAGGAAAATAATTTACTTTTTGTTCTTAGTTGTTTTATAATTTATAGGTCTTGTCAGCATCATATTACTTTTTAAGGAGACACATCCACATAGAATAGAGCCGAATAAAGAACAATATCACACAAGAAATAAACAAATTCCACTTAACCACATTATGTACAATACTTGGTTGATCTACTTATTTTCCTGAAGCTGTTACATCACCAGACTTCATAGATCAAGTTGGTAAGTAAAATCCTGCTATAACTGACACTTATGATGATTATAAATTCAATACAGAGTTCCATACCATCTTTAGTGTAGAGAGCAATCTCCACCTTCCTCTCCTCTGCTCCCAGCAGAGCTTTAGCCATCTGGGCCACCGCTGGTCTCCTGGTGTGTGGTCCATACAGGAAGCTACAGGTACAGGGCTTCTGCATGACCTCCGCCCGGGTGTAACAACACATCCCACAGAAGGCATCATTACAGAAGATGATAGCACAATTATCCACCTGCGCGTTGGCAATGATAAACTTTCGATCTTTGGAGGAAGAGAAAAGAAATGAGAAGAGGGATTGTGAAGAAAAAAACTTGAATAAACTTGCAATTAATGTGACAACTGCCCAAAGTGTTGAATGAAATCCCCAAATGTTCTCAAAGTTTAAACACACACACACTGACTGAAACTTGAAAATGACATTGTTGGACCTTAAAAAATGGCACCCCAAATAGTCTCAGAATATGAAACAGCTACACACACACACACACACACACACACACACACAGCGCCTGAGCATTGCCAGTTCCACATTCTACATCCTTCTTAGGCACACATTGAGAAGTGTTGGCTACACCACTGAATATTTCTATTTATTTCTCTCTCTCTCAAATTTTTTCAACTTGTATTTTTTAAAAGAATACCCTTTTCTGCAAGAAAAATCGAGTAACCAATATAATCCACTTATATAAAAAGGAGAGTTTATGTAGTTTTGAAATCCCCCCTGCTGTCATTCCAGTAGTGAAATTAAACAGTTAACACGGTACTTACTCTGTCCCTCGAATTTGAGGATGATGGTATCCAGGAAAGTGTTTTGGGGCGCCACATGGCCCCGTCTCACCGGCATGGTTCGAACCAAGTGCTGGAGCCTCCTTCGGCTGTGATTGGCTGAAACCCGAACTGTCCAGATCTGTCTGACTCTGCTCGATCACACACTTTGTCTTTCTGGGTTCCAAGCCTCTGGTCCCAGTCAGCCACGTCCTCCCTTACCCTCTTTCTCACTCTCTCCTCCTCTCGCGCTCTCTCCATCCTGGTCGGCTGTTAATCTGAATCCTCGACTCCGATTGGTCCGGGCAACAGGTAGGTTATATATACATGATTTATATATAAAACTGTTAGCAGAAGCCATTCAGGGGCACCCATGACAAAAAAATCAAATTGGAGCCCCCTCCTGCGGGCAGGCTGTTCGTCACACAGATCTCCTAGGGACTCTAAAACATGTCCCTATCAAAAGCTTTTACATAACTACTAATGTAAAGGCTTGCAACTGTCTTTTGCTTCCTTTGTAGTCATCAAATACCTAGTACCTTTAGAACCAATATTTACATGCTGGCGATTTTGTACAGAATGCATGCAAGTCATGCATACAGTCTGCAGTGTCACCTATTTGATGAAAGATTAAAACAACCATAAAAATATGTGCTAAAATGGCCTTCTTTTTACGTCTCAATGTATTTTTATTGTAAAATTTCAGAAAAACATGAAAAATTCTCTATAATGAAATTAAGTTATTCATAATTATTGATTACTATCATTATTATTATTAAATGAAGATAAAAAAACGAACAAAACTAATATATATACTTTTCAATCAAATGAAATTAACATCAATCCTCTCCAAAACAATGAAAACAGCTGAATTTTTAACTTAGCTGCACATTATATGCCAACATGAGAAT